TGCAAGTTTTATATAAGTGAGTGTAACATTCTATTATTTATGGACAAGAAAAAGGAAGTTTGTACATGTTCAATATATTTACATTTTTTTTTTAATTTGAGAGGTTGAAAGAGAGAAAGAGAGAGGGAAATTGATCTTTCATCCACTGGTTCACTCTCCAAACACCTTTTTTTAATACCTGTGAACATCCAAGATTGGGCTAGGCTGAAGCCAGGGCCTGGGAATTTAATCCAAGTTTCCCACATAGGTGGTATGGACCCAGTTCCTGGAACCATCACCTGCTGCCTCCCAGTGTCTGTCCTGATAGGAAGTATGAATGGGAGCAGAGCCAGAATCCAGCCCAGGTCTTTCTTATGGCTTATGGTCATCTTGATGGGCATTTTAACCACTAGTCCAAATACCTACCTCAATTTAGAAAATAAAACTATTTTTTTATTCTGAGGCTGATTTAATGCACAGACACAGAAGCTGAAGACAAAGGCCAAATACAATAATTTTTGTGCATATTGATTAATGCAGATGTATTTGTTCTACCATTGCAGCTGTGGCAAATCAAACAGGAAGAATCCGAGCTACCACACTCTTGTGGTACCTATTGGGTATTGAAAACATGGTGGCTTGAGAAGACCTGCCATGGCCTGCATCTTCCAAAGCAGGTGAGGAATTTCAGGTTCTAGAGCAGGCTGGTGTCTCCTCTGGGCTTCCCCTCACCCTATCCCATCCAACCTGGGGCTGTGCTGGGCACTGATGCACTCTGTAGTTCATTCATTACTATTGCATTACTTCCTGTGCCCCACAATGAAAAGGAGACAGAAAAGATGAGAGAAAATGGTCTTCAAAAAGTGACCCTCTGTGGAGCCTCTTGCCCGCTTTGTTCTCTGTCCATTCCATGAGATAAAGGGAAGAATAAAAGTCCATGTTTAATCTTCTACTTCCTTCCACCTGTTCCTCCCTGACAACCTACATGTCTCTTCAACCACAGACAATCTTCTACAACAGCTTTTTATGCTATTTTGAAATGCATTTTCATATTGGGAACTGCTGGGAAGCTGCTGGGGCTTTACCCCAAGGCAAACCCAAAGCAAGAAATGCCCCATGCCTGGGATTCATTCTCCACAGCAAAAATTCTTGACTCAGGACCTCATAAACCAGAGTGGAAGGATTGTAAGCTGACTTAAAAATAAGGGTTGATTACTAGAAAGAAGAAGGAGCAGGAGAAGCCAGGGGAAGGGATACCATCCAGGGACCCAGAGAATTTAATCACACAGTGCAAACCCTGAGGAACTCAGTTTTAGGTTTCCATGGAGTATTCAAAACTAGGTCTTTCCAAGGAGCTTTGAAATCTTGGCAGATGCTCCAGAATGCCTCAGAATCATGCTGTGTGTGGCAGATGCAGAAATGAAAAAGGAAGGTGAGCAGAGAAGGAAAATGATTAGCAAGCACAATGAGGAAGGGATTCCTTCCAGAGGTGCAAGGTCTCTGTCATGTAGCAAGCTGAAGAGCACAGGAGCTGTGAGGTTTGTGGGACTGCTGAGAAGCCACAGTTGTATAAATTGCATAGATTAGCCTGGGGTCCTAAAAAGGGGCTGCTCACTCAACTGCTTTAAGAATGATTTTCACACTTGCTTCTTAGCCTTTTCGCTAAGATCAAATGTAAGAATGCTTCTTGGGGGCAGGGATGGGGCTGACATCATTAACAGGTTAAGCAATGCCAGCATGCTTACTGGAGGCTGGTTCCGGCTGTTCCTTTCCTGTTCCAGCTTCCTGCTGATGTGCCTGAAAGGATGACGACCCAAGTACTTGGATCCCAACACCAACATAGCAGATCTGGAGGAATATCCTAGTTTCATTGTGACAACTTGGGGAGTGAACTAGTGGATGCCTTTTTCTCTGTAAATCTGCCTTTCAAATAAATAAGTCTTTTTGTATAGGTAAACGTGTATGTAAATACAGCCATCTAGAGGAACAGTTTAAGGGGGGTCTAGCATATTGAGAAGTGAAGCTATAGTGCAGTATGCATCTCTACTCCTGAATAAAAGGTAGACTACCAATTGAAACTATTATATATATGTTGACATATGATGCTGGATTTTCTACCATTGTTTATACCTAAGATGTCACAAATCATTTGAATAGAAGAATTATTGACTTGTGACTGTTGCTAAAGGACTATATAATAATATAAGGGAAAACAATGGTTGGGGGTCGGGGAGGAGAGGATGAGGAGAGCAGAAGGGGAAATCCCTCAGCCTACGGAACTGTATCATTTAAAAATATAAAAATTAAAAGGAAAAGAATGCTTTACAATAGGTGCCCCATTAGTACTTCAGGGAAGACAATTCTTTATATCAAGGAACTATTTTGTTCATTGTAAGATGTTTGAAATCTATAACATCTGAACACTAAATGCCAATGGCAGGTCTTAGTAACAGGACAATCCTTTAGGAATATAAACCCTTGTAAATACCTCATAGCAAAGGATTTGGGTGATATGACCTGTGGAGAACTAATTTTTAAGCTCTTACAAATAAAGCATTTTCAACAAGAAATTCTGATGTGGAAGAGATTAGATACTGATTCTTATTTGCAAAGTTGTCAAGCCTAGAAGGGCAGGAGTGGTGTGGGGCTAGAAATCCTTCCAGAACTGGCTACTAACCCAAGGAGCCACCCAACATGGTGGATAATAGTCATCCCATATCAGTAGTTGGCCATGGTTCTGGGATCCCACTTGTCCAACAGTGCTGGGGACACTCACTAGTTTTTGTAAACTTTTATCTGTGACAGACACATGCCCCAGGTGCCATTTATGTGATGGAAGGTTCTCTATTGTCTCTTGCTTGTTAATCTAAAGATTATAAAATTCTATCATTTCAAAGCCCTTTAAAATATCACTTACAGCTGAGGGTAGACTCAGGTAAAAGCGACCTGAAGAATTTCTTATGCCACATACAGTCAGTACTCAATGACTACTGCCTATCAGTATTCCACATCCCAGGAAGTGCAGTGATTGCTTCATGTAACATTCCCTTAGAAGGCAGGAACTTTGCCTACTGAAGTCTAGGACAGGATTTTCTGGTGTTGATCAATGTCCAACATGATGATCATGAGTGAAATCAATAATACTGTCCGGGGCCTGCATTGTGGCATAATGAATAACACTGCTGCCTACAACATCAGCATTCCACATGAGTACCAACCAGTTCAAATCCTAGCTGTTCCACTTCTGATTCAGATCCCTGCTAATATGCCTGGGAAAAATAGTGGAAGATTGCTCAAGTCTTTGGGCCTGGCATCCACATGGGAGAACCAGATGAAGCTCCTGGCTCCTGAGTTCAACCCGGTCCAGTTCTGGCTGTTGCTGTCATTTGGGGAGTGACCCAGTGGATGGAAAATCTCTCTCTCTCTCTAATTCTTTCAAATAAACAAGTAAACATATTTTCTAAAAGTCCTCTTAACTCTAAAAAGGTCAAGGTGTTGGGCTGAAGAGAAGCTGCAGGTCCAGGATGCTCTCACACAAAACTGGCACGTATAGTATCAGAGAGACAGAACGACTGAGATCACTCCACTCCACCTGGCCTTCAGGATAGTTGTTGTCCTCCCCACTCCTGTCTGTCTCCATTCCTTAGGCAATTCTCTTCCCTTCCTGCACTTCCCTATTGGAAGATAACTGGCCCAAGATGAAGTATCACCTACAGCCCTTGCTTCTAATCATTAATTCACTTGGAGTATCCATTCCAATAAGAGTGTGAAAGTGTAGGCAAACTTATCAACACATCCACCTGAGGTATATCACATGGAAGTGAAATTGTGTTCCTTAAATTTGTTCTTTAGGACCATGTGCCAAAAGATGAACTATCTGGGAACAGAGTGCCAGGGCCAAATGGTTTAATAATTTTGGGAAATGCTGTTACTGTCACCTCAGTACAAGTTATTAAAGGATTAAAGATACTATGAGGTAAATTAATCCAACTCAAATTTATGTGACCATTAGGTCACACTGGCAGGTGCTGCCACCAGTGACAATCCCAAACAACTACATTCCAAACTGCTGCAGCAGCGGATTCAGAGGGTATTCAGCTGATTTTAGTTTCTTGGATTCTAATTGGGATAGTCAGGAATGTGTCTCAGAGGTAGAGTCTGGGGTAGCTGGGTCCCTCAGATGGGCAGGTTTCTTCCAGACCCAGGTAGAGGCAGAGTATGCATTCATGCAGCACATTCCTGCTGAGCAGGTACTGAAAGCAACACACTGTGATGGGGCAGAGTGAAGGCATCAGTACTAATTTGAGAAAGTGCATCTTAGCTTTGTGGAATAGCCATGTGTGTAGTGTAGAGTTAGACTGGAAAATAGAAAGATGGAGACTGGAGCTGAACAGAAGAAGGAATTGTCAGACTTGTTGTTTACCCCTCAGAGGCTTGTGTTAATAGCACTGGCCCCACTGGCCCTGGCAGCCTGAATAGTCCCCTCCACCACCACTGACAGAGAAGCTCTTCCCTTCTCTGCACTTCAAATTCCTCATCTATAGAAGGACTAGCCTGATTACGTTATCTAAGGGTTCTTAAAGCATCAACCTCACAGGGTTTTGTGGTTTTTACACAAGAAAATGAGAGCCTAGCCAGCACTAAAGGACAGGGGGATGCCTTCTGGTTTGAATGTCCATGGAAAAAGTACACTAAATAATGGAGAAAAATTAAGCCCTGTTCAACTCACAGCATCATACTTCTCAAACTGGAAGAAGGAATGTGGCATACTTTCCAGGAACTAATTGTGCTGCAGACACCGAGGAACGAAATTCTCATCTTCATATTAAAATCCAAGAGGTTAACGAGAGAAACCTGACATGTCCTGTAGCCTCAGAGCTCCTCTTCGTAGTCTCCCAGTATGAGGAGATCACATGAAAGGAAACTAGAACTGGACAATTGGAGGGAAAAACACCTACATCCTGTGGAGACGGAAGTTTACCTCTCTTGTAGTAAATTGTGCTAAAGAGATGGTAACTCACCATTGGACTGGTCATCCCCATAGTTCTTATGGGAAGGTGCATACAGGAACATCAACGCAAAGACATACAGGTTCCACATCCCATAGATGCCTGTGAAAAAGGCACTGTTCACTTGGACGGTGACGCCGCCCCACTTCCAATGCCCTTCAGTCACCTATGGAGAAAGGAGAGCGGGACTCAGTCGCAACAGAGGATAAGCATAATACCAACATAAGGACAACTCAGCAACAGGAAAAGCGGTTCTCTTTCCCACATATGGGAAAACCAAAGGGGCACTTAAGAGTCCGTTTTTTAATCTGAAGCATAGCAGCATAAATTTAAGTCAACTGTGGTCAAATCTGAAGTCTGTCCTTATTTTGGCTACTTAGTATTTCCTGGGGAGTGCTCCTTCTTGAGACCAGAAGTAGACAGCTATCTCTAAGTTAAAACAGTAGTTAGTTATCCCTAAATTGTAGAAATTGTGATGCTGGAACCTAGCAGTGATCCATGGCTAGGATTCCTCCTCTTCTGTCTTCCCAGCTGATGTCAACTGCCTGCAGAGGGAGGCTGATTTGGTTAGGTTTGCTGCTATGTCTGCATTGATGCCAGGCACTGCTGTTCTCGCCAATGTAAGACAAGTACATGGTAGCCTAGTGGCTGAAGTCCTCACTTTGCATGTGCCAGGATCCCATATGAACACTGGGTCATCTCACAACTGCCCTGCGTCCCAATCAGCTCCTTGCTTATGGCCTGGGAAAGCAGCACAGGGCAGCCCAAAGCCTTTAGGACTGTACACCATACAGGAGGCATGGAAGAAGCTCAGACTCCTGGCTTTGGATTCGGTCAGCTCTGGATGTTGTAACCACTTGGGGAGTGAGCCAGTGGATGGAAGATCTTTTTCTCTGTCTCTCCTTCTCTCTGTAAATCTGCCTTTACAATTAAAGAAAAAAAAATGTCTAGAAAGTGCCTGGCACACAATAAACACAGTAACACGTAAGTATCATGAAACATGCCTCCAGGTAAGTCAGTCATGAAGCTAATTAGGGAGCTCTCCCTCACAGTCTCCGCGATTCTGTAATGGCTGTTCTGAGGTCGCTGTTGTCAGTGTTGGCGATTAGGTCATTGTGGGAAGGGTTGGCCGACGGCCTGTGAACTGCATCAGGAACTGCCAACAGAGCTGCTAGCCAGGTAACTGAAAACTGGCATGGGCTGTGTGACCCAGTGAAATGATTATGGCCACTTCTGCTTGCTACAGGGCATTCCAAATGGAAATAAAAGAAAGGGTTGGGTAAATGTTCCTGAGACAGTATAAGGAGGCTGAATGACATAAGTCATCTCTAGGAGCCACTTTTAAACCGTAAGGTGGCAGGCTAGAACTAAGTATCAGTGGCGTTACCCATCAGGTTGATTTTACCCTCTGTTTACAATTCCATGGATCTGTGCTTACTTGGTACCTCTGTATAACCCCTAATCCACTCGGGCCCTAGGCCTAATAGAGCTGTTAGTATGGGCGTTTCCTTTTTCGAGAGTGGGCCAGACTAGCCAATTTTAGACTTACCAGTTTTCATTTCGCCTTGGTGATACATAATTTTTTGTTTGTGACTCATTCACAAAGCACTGTAAACTCTTCATTTATTTTGGAACATGATTTACTTAGGAAGAGCCTAGGCATGAGTGTTTGCTTTGGTTTTTTGTTTGTTTGCTTGTTTTGGCAAAGAAGGATTTAAAAATCTGTATTGACTTTAGAATAATGCACCAGCATTCAAGCAACTTAGGGTGTTTTAGAAACATTTCCAAATGTGACTATTCTTACTTTTAAGAATGGGCTATCCTAATGTTATAAAAGTTATAGTATTCAGAGCACTTGATAATGAATTTTGGTGCACATAAACAGAAGGAAAAAAAAAATCTGCAAGAGAGGCCCTTGCAATATACACACCCTCCATCAGACCACAGGGAATTATCCTTTATGAGATCAAGAAGGAAAGCTAAGCCTGGGGAGCTATAGGTGACATGAAATAACACAATTCTTTTTCAAAAAATGTATTTATTCTTAATGGAAAGGCAAATACACAGAAAGAAGGAGATACACAGAAAAATATCTTCCATCCACTCTCCACATGGTTGCAATGGCCAGAACTGAGCTAATCTGAAGCCAGAAGCTTCTTCCAGGTCTGCCATGAGGGTGTAGGGTCCATTCTCCACTGTCTCCCAGCCCACAGACAGGGAGCTGGATGCAAAGCGGAGCAGCTGGGATATGAACCAGTGCCCACATGGAATCCCAGCGCATGTAAGGTGAGGATTTAGCCACTAGGCTACCATGCTGGGCCCCCAAACATTCCACCTCTCACCTGACTTCCTGTGATATGAGTGGCAATGCTCAATATTGACAATTTTGATGAAACTGTCGTTAGGATTCATATAACTAACCCATCTAAGGAAAAAACCAACCTGCATGGCTGGTACACAACGTTCTCAACAGATGTTTGCTGAGCAGACAGGGGAAAGCATGAGGGTGTGCAGGGATGCTGAATAGAAGAAGAAAGTAGAAGAATCACATGGCTGAAGAACAGAAAGAAAATACTGTAGGCTGCAGTAAACAATAATGATACAGTAAAAATTGAGAGAAAATGCTAATGGTGACAAGTGTTATTTCCTTTAAGCATGGCCATCTATCACATTCCTTTACTATCACTTAAAAATAAGTGGCCAAAACAGATACAAAGATAAGATTGTTTTTGTTGTTGTAATACTGAGAATTGCCATAGTTAACATTCAGTTAATCCTGATGGTGTGTCAAGCCCTCTGCTAGGCATTTTATATGAACAATGTGATTTAAACTTAATAACAGCTTTGCAAGGGGGTAACATTTCCATTTAACACATGAGTAAACTGTAGTGCAAAATCTTGCCACAGCTTTCTTAGCCAGAAGGTTATGGGTCTGACTCCAGAAAAAAACATCTTTTTAATGTTATATGACACAGGATACAAAAATTGTCATGGGTCTGGTGCAGTGGCTCAATGGCTAATCCTTGCCTTGCAGGCTCTGGGATACCATATGGCCAACAGTTTGTGTCCCAATGGCTGCACTTCCCATCCAGCTTCTTGTTCGTGGCCTGGGAAAGCAGTAGGGGATGACCCAAAGTTTTGGGAGACCTGAATGCACATGGCTTCTGGCTCCTGGCTTCAGATCAGCATAGCTTTGGCCATTGTGGCCACTTGGGGAGTGAATCAGTGGACAGAAGACCTTTCTCTCTGTATCTCCTTCTCTCTGTAAATCTGCCCTTGCAGTAGAAATTAATGTATCCTAAAAGAAAACTATTTTAAACAGGATGGGTCTCTAAAGGTAGCATAAAGTGTGACACCAAATTTTCTTTGGAAATTCACCACATTGTACACAAAACACATTATTTATACAACACGGACTCAGAAATTTGTGCATTATAGTGACACACGGTAACATAAGGCATAATAAAGCGTATTTTTATGCAAAGTATAGTGTGAGGCAAAATGCGCTGAGGTGAGATGTTATGGTAGGAAGGATACCTCGGAACGGAGTCCAGCTGAGAAAATAGATCCATGCCCCCGTCTCCTGTTTGCTCCAGGACACTGGCATGCTGTTTAGAATGCAACTGCAGAATTACCCACCTGCTGAATTTATAATCTGAAAATGTATTATTTCCTGCTGTGGCAGAGTTGAGTTGCAAAAATTAACTGTGTAGACTGTTTAACTCCGCTGTTAAGAGACCAGGTTGTGTTTTCCTGTCTTCTCTCAATCATTCATGCCTGAAACCTCCTGAGCTCTAAACTCCTAGGCCCCACTGCAACGCTAGTGAATGCCTCCACAGCGCAGGCCTTTAAGCACAAACTCTTCCTTACACCAAGGTGGAATTGGACTTTCAGAAAGAAAAACCAGAAAGCTTTAATCATCCCCTAATAAATAATCTCATCCTCTGATAGAAGTCCTGTTCTCAAAAGTCTGTGTTTCCTGATTTCACATTTGCACAACTGACACTCCTGGAGCCAAGTGAAGCTCAAATCCCTTCGCGCCCAGCAGTCATGACAACCAGCATTCCACTTCGCAACAAGATTCCCAAGTCCCAGACACTGGCTCTCTCACCGGAAACACTTCCTCTGTCAATCACAGGATGAAAGGCTCACACACACAAAAGAGCCTGGACTGCAGCTCTGGGAGTTCGTAGCTTGTGGCTTGACCTGAGTTTCAGGCACCTGGGTTCTCCTTTGTGACCTGGGGTGACATTCCTCCCTGCACTGCAGTTCTGTTTCTGACTGTGGCCCCCTCCCCATGGAACACCTCTTTCTTTACCAGAGTGTGATGTATCACTCTTCGTTGCTATAACTAAGGCCATTAAAATGGCAGGCATTAAAAGACTGTACCTCAGTCCCCAGCTGTAAAGCCTCAAGGTCACTGCATTCCACAGTTTCCCGTGGGCCTTTCGTTCCTGGCCTCAGCTCTTCAATATCTTGGCGCAATCCCCTCGCATTCTATTTCATGGGGCTTAAATGCAAGCTCTCCCAGTGAGCCTGAGAATATAATGGGGGTTTAAGTACATTCCTTTTACCTAAGGCTGGGATCCATTTCAAAAAGTTACCCAATAGGTTTCCTTTCAGGTGAGCTCATTGCTCTGACATTCCAAAATGACATTAAAAAATAAATCCTCTGATGACTATATTAATACAGTACCTGGGATACTGTGAGTTAGGCTGGAAAATGTCTTAGATGTCTATAAATAAACTTAAAAAAAAAAAAACTCAGCAGGAGGAATGTGAGCAGCTAATGGAATTCAAAAGGCCTCACTGCTACCCCCTTAGAACTGAAATCCACTCCAGGCTGACTGTCACAGCAGATATAAAAAGCCAATCACTGACTGGAGCCATGTTAGGAAATACTGGGGCAATGGAATTAATCCTTTTCTCCAAAACAGAGCCACAGATGATGCTCGGTGGATGGTAGCTTTCATTGCTTTAAAGACGACACTAATTAAACATGTATAAGGTTAAATCCTGGCAACCTGCAGCCACCCTGAGGCTTTTGACGTGAGGTCAAAGGCCCTCTCTGCAGAGATAAGAAGTGAGGGAGAGGAAGGTGTGGGAAAATGAGTGCCGCTGTCTAAAGCGGGCAGCAGCAGGCAGGGGGAGCAGGAAGCATACTTCCTGTCTGACTTCCTAAGCATTTATCTTGGGAACAGTCTCTCATTCTTCAGTCTGTCTTCCTTGAGCTTCTGCTTCTCATGGGAAGTTCCTGTGACCCCTCAGCCTTGCAGACCTGGCACTGCAGCACTGCGCACATCTTTGGGTTCATTACTAAGGGATTCCAGGAACCAGAAAGCATTTTGCACTCAGGAAGGATTTTGCCAAGGCCTTAGACACACTTGTGTGAATATGGGATTCTGAATAAAAGACTCATTCAGAATTTTAAATAGTTCTGCTGCCTTTAGAGTGGAGAGCGAAGTTTCTACGGTTTTATAAACAAACAGTCTGACACAAACCCAGCACTGTTACAGAGCTAAACACATGTGGTAACTAGAACTTATGAAGACATATAGGTTTGTCGGTGTGTATTTCTTCAATTTCACTTATGCCTCCAGTAGAGTAAGCCACACTAACACACAAAACAAATGGGACTTAATAACTCCTAACTTGGAATGCTGGGCACACAATTCAAGGAACTCATGAAGTATAATAGGAAAAAGTTGTAGCTTTATTTTCATTAGTCTCTGACCCAAAGTAAGTGTTTCTTTGAGCAGTGACTGCAGAAAACAAACCCCAACCCAGATTTCTCTCAACAAATAATGCCTGCATGGTATAGCTGCATATATAAAATACCCATGCTACGTCTAAAACAAGAATGTATGACTGTAAATACAAACATGATTCCCCTTGAAATTCAATGTAATTACTTTATTTATCTAAAATATTGTACAGAGCAGGTCTATGGCCTAGTTGTTAGTTTGGGACACCCATACCTTATATCAGAGTGTGTGGGTTTGAGTTCCAGTTCCTCATTCCAGCTCACTGCCAATGTATATTCTGGGAAATTACATTCCTGTTTCCAATTTCAGCCTGGCCCAGTGCTGGCCATTGCAGACATCTAGGGAGTGGACCAGTGGACGAGGGCTTTCTGCATCTGCCTCTCTGTCTCTCTAAACATTTACTTATTTTATGTATTTGAAATGCAGAGTTACAGAGGGAAAAGGGAGGCAGGAGGGAGAGAGACACACAGAGAAAGAGAGATCTTTCATTATTTGGTTCATTTAGCCTGGGCTAGGCCAGGCCAGAGCCAAAGCCTGAAACTCTACCCAGGTCTCTCATGTAGGGGCAGGGATGCAAGCATTTGAGTCATCTTACGCTACTTTTCTAAGCACATTAACAGGGAGCTGGATGGGAAATGTGGCAGCAGAACCTCAAACTGATACTCATATGGAATACCAGCATTGTAGGTGTTGAGTTAACTTACTGTGCCATGAGGATGCAGCCCCCCTGTCTACCTCTTGAAACAATGACGGCAGATCACCCATTTAAAGAAATAAAATCAGTCTAAGAAGAGACCATAGCCTTTTAGATTGTCAAAAAAGTACAGGAGCACCTGTAGTAGAGAGATGCTTGCTAGCAGAATGGAGCCAGCTGTGTCCCAAGACTAGTCTAGTTTGAAGCTGACATTGTGACAGTGAGTAAAAGCTGCCAGCTGGAGTTCCAGTTGCTCTGTTTCTGATCCAGGCTCCTGCTAAAGCACCTAGCAAAGTGATAGAAGATGGTGTAAGTGTTTGGGCCCCTACCCTCCATATGGAAGGCCTGGATGGAGTTGCTGGTTCCTGATTTTGCTGTAGTCCAGTCCTGGCTATTGCAGATGGAGAGTAACCAGGTGACAGAAGAACTCCTTTTGTCTCTTCTTCTCCTCCCCTATCATACCACCTTTCAAACCAAATAAATGCATCTTAAAAATAATAAAATTTTCCATCTTGGCCAAATGTAAGGACGACAAAATTCTAGCAAGAGTCAGGTCTGCGTGCTTGTTGCAAACTTACTGAATACACGTAAGTGAGATACACAACCCTGCTGCTATTCCAGGGAACATAGATAAGAATGCTTATAGTGTTTTAGAGGCTCTTCCAGTCACTCTGCAACTACTAGTTCCCAGGAGCCTACAGCAACCTTCTACAGGGGGCCACTATTCTTAAATCCATTTTACAGATAAGAAACTTTATCTTACAACTGTTATGGGATCCATCCACAGTCTCCGTCCAATGCCTGTTCCAGTTGGAGAGTAATATAAAAGGGAAATGTCTCTAAAGGCTTTAGATTTCATATTCTAGCAAACTGAGGTAAAAATTCCAGCCCTACCTACTTCAATAGATTTCTATGAAGCTCAAATAAATGTCAGACACATATTACACTTAAATAGTACTTTCCACTTCCCAAAGCAAATTACCAATGTTTCATATTATTATCATTATAAGTATAGAGATTCAAGTCTAGCAAAATGATTAATTTTGGAAATACCCAGAGGGAAGATGAACTTCTACCAAGGCAAATTTTGATTACATTTCATGTCTAAATGGCCAAATAATTATCACGAAGAATGGCTGATGGACTGTGAAAGGACTTATGTTCATGTTGGATATGGCTTCAATAAAATTCATACTTGCTAGTGTTGTGCTACAGAGCTTGAAAGTTTATTCTCTTCAGCAAGTGAAATGTGTACTTCAGTGTAGCTGTAGGCTTTCAATTTCCTTAAAAGATTTACCTCCCAAAAGGCTATCCTGAAAGGAAAGTCAGTCTATGTGGTTGGCTGCTGACAAATTCCGTGTTGGAGAGATCTGAATAAAGGGCTTGGCCAGCTGTCCAGATTACTATCCTTTCTACCCCTTTCCCCTGCAGCTCTTTAGAATTGTTTTTTAAATCCGTATTTATTTGCAAGACAGAGCTACAGAGGGAGAATGAGCGAGAGAGATGGTTCATTCTCTGGGTCATCCACCAAAGGCCACAACAGCCTTGGTTGGGCCAAACCAAAGCCAGAAGCATCAAACTCCATCGAGGTCCACCTGAGTGGCAGGGTTCCAAACATTGAGGTTATTATACTCAGCTGCTTTTCTGGGGAGCTGGACAGGAAGGAACTAAGACTTAAACCTGTGTTCCATGAGATGCTAGCATTATAGGCAGTGGATTGACCCTTCTTCGTGCCATAACATAGTAGGGTTTCTCCTGGGAAATCCTTCTCTGACCTGGAAATCTAGGATGCACTTACCTGGCTAACAATGAAGAAAATGACGGTCATGGCAGCACAGGCCAAGGTGATGAGCATGAGGAACTTGAATCTGAAAATGAGTCCCTATTTGGAAAAGAAGAAAGAATAATGAAATATTTCCATCATTTACCACCAGTCTGTTCTCATAGATGTAAATCTATGGATAGCTACTTTGAAAGAAACTTATAAAACAAAAGCCCTAGGAGTGACAGTGAAATAATTTCACAGAGCAATATTTCTCCTGTAGATGTAAATGTGGTTGAAAAACTGCTGGGGACACATATTTCCTATGCCCTTATCGCTTGGGAAACAGTGACAGCAGAGTCTGGGAAATTATATTCAGAACATGTCATGAGGCTGCTGATTTCCCTGCTAAGCTGGTTATACTTCTCTGCAAGGGTTCAAAGTTACCAAATCCAAGTTTTCTGTGGGTTGTAATAAAATTCTGCTCCAGCGAACAAAAAGAAATGTGCATATTAATTAACATGAGGTAGATTTAGTCACAGTTCCTCACATGGCAGTCCCACTCTGGAGACAGGCAAAATGCTGAAAGCGCATGCAGTTTCCTGAGGACTGGATTTAAGGAAACCTTTATTTCAGGGACAGATGCCTATTGTGAAGGGGCTGTTCTGCTCAGATCCAACACTCAGAAAGCCTCTGCTACTCTGTGGTTCCTGCTTCTCTTTTCACAAAGAAATTAGGTCTGTGTCTGCAAGGACAGCCACTTAGGCATGAACCCAAAGGATCCTTGAAAAATCAAGAATGTGTTGTCTGCATTCAAAATTCGAGGATGTTAAGTGTTTCTCTTGAATGAGGAACATAACCGAAACACAAAGATTACCAATTCCATTGGAACACCTGCTGGAGATTTATTTGAGTCTGAAAATCAGATCATGTGGATTGAAGCTGACTTAATGTTGATTTGGAGCAAAAGGATCATGACTACAAGTCACCTTAAGTCAAATCTCAGTTCAGCTACAGTCCAATCTGCTATTTTGTATATACACCCACGTTCTGTCCTAAAGCCAAAGGACCAGCTAAACAAACTCATGCCTTACTAAGGATGGAAACACATTTATACCACAGAGAACTCTGTGATCTAGATAGGCCATTTAGATGATTCTCCTAGTAGGACTGAGCTTCAAATTTTGCCCAGAAATCTTGCAATATAATTTTCCAGCATGTATTTGAAAGTAACATCTTTCAATCTCTTAGGGGTGTGTTAACATACTAAGTCACAGACATGGAGTACCAGTGCCAAAAGGAGCCAAGCTATCTGCCCACCTCGTAGTGCAGCCTCCGGACTTTGCTCATGGCTGGCAGACTGGACTGCTTCCCACTGATGTTCCGAAACACCTGAAACACCATGAAGCACAGAAACAGGAAGTAGAGGCAGAGGCAGATTCCAGCTACGATGATGAAGGCCATCTGACAGTGCAGTGAAGGAAAGGGCAGGCTAGTTAGGGCAGGAGCACCTTTCCCAAGTCCCATTGGGCATGCTTGTGTGTGTGAGTGTGTGTGTGTGTGCGTGTGTGTGTGTGTGTGTGTGTGTGTGTGTGTGTGTTTTAATCTCTAAATCTTTAGGGAATTTTCTAGGAGATGAAATAGTAAAACCTGGCATTCTAATACCAGCAACGAGAAACTGTCTGATGCAACAGCATCACAAAGAACAGTGTTCAAAATTCCTTTCTATGCTAACTAAGAAGAGAAACCTGACCTTACTTGCTAGGAGATGCAGAGATGAGGTGCTCCCTGGCCTTACTGAAGCTGCCCTTACACCAGGGCCCTAGGAGGTTTGTTTGCACCACCAACTGGAAAAGCACTAACAGAGTGGATGTTGGTTTGAACATGTGAATTAGGTGAAAATTGCATTAAAACCATTGAAAAAGTTCAAATACAAGTGTATTTCAAAATGTTCATGGGAATAAAATTAAAATAACTTGATTTTGGTATAGAAATATTTGAAATCATGCACAGTCTTTTTTTGTGTGACACACATTTTCCATGAAATTTTCAAAGATTTCTGTTACTAGGGAGTCCAAATTCTCTCTAGAGCTGGTGAACCAGGGTTAGCAGGTTTGAAAATCACTGGGTTGGTCCTTGGATTTAGAATGAGACTAGGATGATCTGGAATTGTGGAGAGGGGATCTGGAGCGGTGGGTACAGCAGCCATTGCCAGGGACCCTCAGCCACCAGAGGAAATCATACTAAACTGAATGGGGGCAGAAGGATACATAGCGAAGGTGGGAGCTGCGAGGGTTGAGACCCAATGGGGGACTGGGGCCACCAAGGCTTGGGGTGGCATGAGTTGGCTTGAAAGGGACCTGACTCCAGATCCCTCTGCTGTAACAACTCTCCCTCAAATGGGCTTTAATATTTTTTTAACAGATAAGGAGTTAACATGTACACTTCATTAAGATATTCAATGCAGTTTCTCTTTTCCCATGACTAAGAGTGCCCTGAAATAAGGAAATGCAGTTACATGCCACAGAATTAGATGTTTATTTGCTTTTTTTTTTTTTTGCCTTCTGTCCTATTGAGACTATCAAAGGGTGAAACTGCTTTAACATTATCATGTTCTTTGCTGAGCAGAAGGCAAGTAGTGGAAGAAAGGTGGGTTCAACTCCTTCATCTTAAAGGCAATGATATTGCTAACACAGTTTGATCTAAAAGTTTTTGTGGTGCTAAGAAAATAATAGAAATACAAGAGGCAAACAAAGCACATTTGCAAGCCCAGGTAGCATATGAGTCAGCTGTCACCAAACAGGGCAACACAAACCTTTTCCCCATTCTAAAGGAAAGTCTTTTTTCTCCCAGAGCACTTATCATATTATTCAGGAGGATGAAATATTTAAATCCTGCATCCTTAAAGGGATAAGCTAATACTGTCACTTCTGCTTCATGAAGATGACTCAAATAGAGTTTATGCCAGCCAACCAGAGGTCTCCTTGACTCCTTTGGAACTAATCACCTTAACCTTATCTCCACTCTGTTTCAGAAATGAATAGCATTGGCATGGTGTGCCAGCATATCACGGATCTGCATCCTTGTTTTGTGTGGTTTCATGTAGGCCACCTGAGAAACTGGCTCTCCCACAAGGCCCAGGCGTGAGCCTCAGTGGCTCCAGGGAAAAGATAGCCATGCTTGTCTGCAGGAAACAGTGTGTAATTGATCATTTAGTCAGGCTACCGTCAGGCCAGCAACTCTGACTCCTCTGCCGATGGGACAGCTGTAACTTTCTTGCCTTGCCTGCTCTCATCTGGGCTTGAAGGCAAGTGGTAATTCTTTTCATTATTTGCCTTAATTGCACTGTTATCATTGGTCTGAGGATCAAAGCTCTAGCTGAACACATTTGGAGAGCTTCAGCTAAGCCTCAGAAAATGATTTTGGGGACCTGGGAGCTCTAGGAAGCAATAAAACTGAGAGCCCATCAAGGAAGGATACAGCCAGCTCTGTTCCAACATCTGTAGTCCAGATACTGTAGAAGGGATTCGTGAGTTGTACCCCTCTACAAAGAAAAGGAAGACATGATTAATACAAAGGCAAAAGGCAATTTTCCATTTTAACAGATTCTTAGCTTTGCAACTGGAGGGCTTGGGGATGTGTTTTGATTAAGAAACATCACGGAGAACCTAGAGAGAAATTAAGTTTGTAGAACACAAACAGCTTAAACATTTTTGTAAGTATAAAGGGTTATGCTCTTTAGTTAAATCCAATCTTTTCCTGGGGATGTGATTATACCCAGTGCTTTCATCCCAAAGGTTCCCAATGACCATTCCTGTTTTGGAATATTCCTCCTACAGAAACAGGTGATAAAATACCTTGGACATTCCAGCTTAGAGTCCCACAGGCACCTGCTCACCTCTCACACATGTCAAAGATGAAAAGGCAGAAGGAGCCAACGGCAATGGGTCCAACTTGTTTCCAGTACCCTGCAATGTGGTTCCGTTCATGTTGATCCTGAGGAAAACCAAGTTAAGAAAGGAAATAAAAGCAGGAGGAAAGCAGAGCAATTCTATGGGTGAGACTGTCTCTCAGGCAATGCCTATTGACCACTTATTGTGCATCAAGCACCATGCCAGATGCCAGGAATGCGGACCAAGAAAGACAAACATCTGTCTTATTCAGCAGTTCACTCTGCTGGCAAAGTTCATTGTATACTCAGAGCCTTAGCAGGCCTATCCCCTAAGAGTCTGGCAGCAGTAAGAATTTGATACTGTGGGAACACAAAGAAAGGCCCTGAACTCAGGTGGGAAAGTTCTGGGTCCACACAATAATTCATTTAGACTTAATTCTTGTATGATGTACAACGTGTATCTTTAAAATTGTGTGATCTTAAAGACATTAAAGGCAAAACTAAATGAAGCATGGGCAGAGTCTTACTAGTTAGAAAACTAGATATAGTGTCTCATCATTTTTATTCAAACCACAATGATTATTCGTAAGAGACACACAAAGACACTAGCAGAAAAAAAAATGGAGAAATGGAGGGCGTCTGTAAGGTGAGAAAGTGAGGAAAGCTGAAAAATATAGCTGAGCCTCCAGAGTGGAGCAGCTCACATCAGTTCACTCTGGACTAGCCTTACTGGCTGGCAGTCCTGCTCTTGCTCCTAAATTTCTTTCTCCCCTCTCCCCTCTCCGATTCCAGAACCTGATACAGAGACTCAATTCTTCAGGCGTCTCGGCTATAGGACCCCTCGTAGTAAAGGACAGATGGCCCACATCAAGCACAGCAGCAGGCAAGAGCCTCTCTCCCTGGAAGTGTAGCGGGGGCTGAGAGTCCTGATGGTTATGAGTAAGCCATGATGGGATTTAAGAGCAGGCTACTTTACCAGGAAGACCCTGTGTGTGACTCGAGGACCAAGTTCTAGCTGGCACACTGCTTCAGACTACAATGTGACGATGGTATCATGCCTATTTTTATCTATAGGGCCTTCTATCCCTCCTGAAATAGGATTTGGTGCCTGTGTAAACCAAGGACACCATGGAGGTCAGTGTTTCACAGTAACAGAGGTTACTGGGCCACCTGAACACTCTGCCAGCTGGCAAGAGGCAGGCCCAGGTTCTCTGGTGGCTAACCTGTTCCTGGGGATAGGACAAGCTGAGCTGAAGCTAACAGGCAAGAAATAATCATCCTTGTAATATCTCTGTGTTTAGTCTTCTCAGTATAAGCTATCTTACCTCATTTAATTCTCACAAAAACCACCAGCCTGTAACAGTAGGCTTTCAAATCTCATTTTATATACAAGGAAGCTGAAAATCTGAGTGGTTTTGGAACTTGTTTAAAGCCACTAGTTAGCACATGGTAAAGCTGGAATTCCAATTGGAGGCCCTGAGTCCAGGAATCCCACCTGTAATGACTAGCATATGCTTTCTTGCTGGCATCTGCCTAAGATAGGGAGGTGGTGTCAAGCTCAGCAGCCTGCATGGAATGGCTGTGGTGTAGATGTCTGTCCACTTGCCAAGGGGAACTTACCATCATGTGCTCACCACAGAAGATGATCCAGAAGGACAGAAGCATGGCATAGAAGATGCCCTGTCGGATGTCACCAAACAACAGCATCCATGTCCAGTCAAATCCGATGGAAAACCATTCCACTGGGATATTGATAAAAGTCATGGAAATCCCAAGGGCAAAGATAACCCTGAGGGTGAGACAACATGAAAAAAGCCACTTCATTTCTCTGGGAGGCAGAGCTTCAAACATCAGAAGACTGGGCAAGCAAGATGCTACTTGTTAAGACTGAAGCCAGGTGATCTGTCTCTTAGCATTCATGGTGTGTTTCTACAATGAGATGAAAGAATGTCCTCCAACTTTGGCAGCACTGCACAATGGGCGGATGGTATGCTATCATTCCTGTACCTTTGAGTTTTGCCTTAATACTCCCTATTTTTCCTGATACCACCTTCGATGAAGAGTTCCCTGTGATGTTTTGTTCCCTTTGACTTTTTAAACAGACCCCATCAAGTATAACTGCCTTCTCTTCCCTATTCAGGTTATCAATAACCTGGTCATTAACAACACTTATTATTATGATGATATCCTCGGCAATGATGAATTAGGCATGTTTCACAATACATGTTTTGAAACACTATGAAATATAAACTCTTTGGTCTGAATGTTGTGCGTTTATAACTGCTTCTCTCAGCATATTATTGATTGTCCCTATCCTGTCAAAACATCCTTCTTCTGTCACTGATTTACTAATTCCCATGCGATACCTACAATGATTATGTACAGATGAGGTATGTGTTGTCAGGGCTATAAATGTCTAATTGAATAAGACTAGTTTTGACTCTTAAAGACCTATTTAGTGAAAAAGTGATAAAAGGAGACAACCAAGACATAATAGGAAACACTGTATGGAAATAGTGAACACTGCTACTAGGACTTCAGACTTTGACAACCATTGAAATTAAGCTGAGCTGAGTCAAAATTAGGCAGTGAAAAGGGCATTCCAAGCAGAGGGTAGAGCTTGCATAGCGGCACGGAGGCTGGGACAGACCTGAAGCATTGAATGTTCTATATGTGTAGCACTTATCAGGAAATGAGAGGATGTGGCATCAGAGAAATCAACAGACCCTGAGCTCATGCAAAAGCTTGCATATCTCATTAGAAAATCTGAAATCTATTTTGAGGAGACTAGAAGATGCAATAAAAAGTTTAAACAATGGAATGACGTAACCAATGAATTGATTTATTCATTCAACGTATATTTATTAAACACTTGGGTACCAGCCATGGTTCTAGATGCTGAGGATATGTTCATGAGCAAAATGAGCAAGGGCCTTTTTCTTGTGATGTCTGCAATCACACAGGAAAAGGGACATACAGGGGTGAATGCACTCAATGGAGAATGAACATTACAAAGAAAAATAGACAAATGGAGAGTGCTCTTTCCCTCCCTCTCTTTGTGTAACTGATTTTCAAATAAATAAATACATCTTTTTTAGTGTGGGAGGACTGGCATTATGTCACAGTGGATTCAGCTTATTAGTGCTGGTTGGAGTTTTGGCTGCCCCCACCTCTGATTCAGCTCCTTGCTAATGTGCCTGGGAAGGCAGGGGAAGATGGGCCAAGTGCTTGTTTCCCTGCCATCCCTGTCTGCTGTGTTAATGTGAGGAATAAATCAGCAGGTGGAAGTCTCTCTCCATCACTCTTCCTTTCTCTTCCACACTGCCTTTCAAAAATAATTAAGTAAATAAATAAATAAATGAATGAATAAATCTATCTTTAACAACAACAACAACAAAACAAGTAAGAACTTGTTTACGTTGAAAATGAAAAAAACCTTAAGAAAGACCTGAAGGAAATAAGGAACCGGTATGTGAAATAATGTTGCAATTATAGAGAACTGTGAGTGCAGTGGTCCTAGAATCACTGACAGGGTTGGTAGGTAGTGGAGTGGATAGGAAACAGGATCAGAGGTGCCAAGAGGCAGAGCATCAAGGGGCCAGGGCAAAGGAGATGAAAAGCCAGTAGAGTTTTGAACAGAGGAGACACATGATCTGATTCTTCCCTTAAAATGAATAGATTATAGGTTCTTACATGAATAGATTATAGGGAGAAATATGGTGGAAGTGAGAAACTGGATAAGAGGCTATTTCAAAAGCAATCAAGGTGAGAAGGGTTGATGGGTTAGTTAAATTTACATGGTGGTAATAAAAATGATAAAGATTTCTGTGTGGGCTAGATGAGTAGTATGAAAAAAGAGAGAGAGAGAGAGAGAGAGAGAGAGAAGCACAGGATGACTCCTGGCTTTCTAATCTGAACAACTCGAAGGATAGAGTTATCATTTACTAAAATGAGACAGATCTGGAATGGGAGGAAAACAGTGCCATCTTCTGCACATATCACATTTTGATACCGGTGAAGATGCTAAGGAAGCAGCTGGCATACTGCCATCTGGATGTTGGGGGAAGCTGAGGCTGAGAATGTAAGCCTAATGTTAACAGAGGATTGATAATTTGGGATACGTGCAGATATATGAGATCACCTTGGGAATGAGCATAGCTAACAAAAAAAACCTGCCTATTTCTAAAGTTTTAAGAAGATGGAAATATGGAAGGAAAGAGTAATAGAGACTGAGTGATGATCAGCACAGAGGAGTAACCAATGGAAGGATGGAGGAAGCTCTCTGAAAGCAAAGCATCTGGTCAAGTGCATTAAAATCTGATGGTGAGCCACAAGAGCAAGCAATGAAAAGTGATCCTTGGTTCTGGAATGTGAAGGTCACTGTTGATGCCATTAGGTGCAGTTTTAGTAGTGTAGCAGAGATGAATACAGGTTGCAATGGCTTCTGGAGAGAATAGGAAAGGAAACATGAACAAATATGGATAAAAAATGATGCCATGCCCTTAGGAGGAAGTAGCAAAAAGAGAGTTGTGGTAACAAATGGGAGATGGCTGAGCATGTTTGTGTATTAATGGAAATAATTTACTAGAAATGGAAAAGGAAAGAGTATGTCCACAGAAGCATTGACCTTCCGTGGACCAAAAAGTTGGGCTTAGTGAGGAGTAGACCCATGGATCAGAGAGAAGCATTCAATTCTCACCATAGGGATGAAGAGAAAATAGGAAAATGTGAGAGAGGAAGACTCCCGAGGATTTCACAATGCTTTGCTTGTCTGAAGGACAAACAGGAAGCCCAATCAGAATATAACGGCTCACGGGAACCCTGGAAAGCCAAAGTTCCGTAAGAGTGCTGCAAAGTTCTGAAAGAGTGCTCTGAAGTTAGCTCTTACTTTTCCAGAAGCACTGGGGGCCGGGACATCATGGTGATCCTCCTCCAGTACCAAACCATAATGATGAAGATGCTGGGCGTGAGGAAGGTCTTCATGGCAAACCACACCTTGGTGAAGCCTCCATTTTGGTGGATTCCCTAGATAGAGACCAATCATAATGTTGAAATTGAACAGACCTTATTATCACTTTCTACCATCAAATGCATGGGGGGTTGGCAAGTGAACATGTTAGCTGAACATTCAAGGTCAAGAGCTTTCATATTCACAGCATGTTCTGCCCTCATCACCCCTTGGTCCTTTCTCAGGCATTGTGAAAACATATATTAAAAGACATAAAAATTGCCCCATCCTAAGCTAAGTGGATGACTGGGAGCACGATCAAAATTTTTCCTGACATGTCATTGAAATGCCCAGTTTGTTGAGAATGGCAAGTGTGCTATCGAAAACATAGACAGCGGAGGGCTGAGAAGTACGGAAAATGTATCTAGTCACAGTATATCATTAAATGAAGAAAGCAAGATACAAGGGGCACAGTAAGTTCTCATCCTCTGTAAAAGAAGGGCTGGGTGTGCGTATGTGTTTCTATTTTACGTATCCACATACTGCTGAAAAAGCCTACAAGATCAATCAAAATCTCAACTGTGGTTCCTTCTCTAAATAGTGAGATAACACAGGTTGTTGTTATGCTCATCTGTGTCCTTTCCTGCACTTTCTAATTTTCTTTGAAAGAACATATTTTCTTGTGTGACTTTTTTAGATTAAAAATAGCCTCTTGACTCCTAGTTTTTCTTCTTCTCCAGTTAAATAAAAATGAAAGAATCTAAAGCATCCCCATTTCCTTTAACATTTGCATTTGCAAGGTAAGGGATGTTAAAAAGCATTTTTTTCTTACACTTATCTCAGGGCTCTTCATTATGCAATGCTATCATAATCACTGTAATGATCTTAAGTGATCATAATTGCAATAATAATTGCATTGTTTTCCATTTTTGTAATCTTGCACACAAATTAATTCTTTTTGATCTCAGCTGTCTCAGCTATGTTATTATTCCCACTGCTCGGACCAGAAAACCGAGGCAAGTGAGGCATGGAAAGGGAAATATTGAGGTGGAGTTTCCTTTCAGACAACACACCCAAGAGCTAGTGTATTTGGTCTGTGTTTCGGTGTCACTGCCTGCTCAGACCAATCACAATTACTTACCACCAGTCGAATATCCTTTATCTCCCCAATCCCAACGTTGATTTTTTTCTTCTCATTTACAGGCAGCCGGATGTTTAGAAGGTAGTATTTATGAGCCACAGACCCAATTTCCATGAAAGGAAGCACATCACACTCATAGTAACGGCCTTCGTGCTCTGGCGTCTGGAAGGAGAGCAGAAGGTCTGAGGCAGAGCTACCATTTCCAGTAGAGGTATTTGACTTCTTCTACCTTTTTACCAAAGGTAAAATTTTAAAGATGAATGCTTAAAAACATGCATTAGCAGCACAGACTAACAGGACATAGTGAAGATATACAGTGCACCAGCTACCCTTCTATCGCCTAAACCACATGTGGGACAGAATCAGGAATCTCAGGTAAAAAGCAGTTCTTTCCTGTCTCTTAACACCTTGATCAGTTCTTTCAACTTCAGCAGAGCCTTGCAGCAGGCTCATCTGGTCTACCAGGGCTCGGAGAGCTTTTTATTTGTAGTGAATCACAGGAGATCTCTGAGGCACTGCAAGAAGAGTCAGCTTCTTTAATGTCCTGGCGGAAGCTCTGGCTAGCATTCATTGTACTCTGATGGTCCCTGATTGTTTTCTTGGATCTGGGTTGAAGTAGGAGCCGTCTGCCAAGGCTCAAACCAACTGACACACTGACTGTGCAATGAGGATGCCATGTCTACAACCAAGGAAACATCTGCTATATCCTAAGGAGTGAACTTTAGATCCTAGGGCCACTACAAGAAGAATGATTAATAATCCCATTGTTTGCCTTTCCCTGAACCACTCCAAGTGCGAATGTGTGTAGAGATGCAAGGTAGCTCCTTGATCCATAGAAATCAAGTCTGCTAACTATTACTCAGGCTTTCTAATAAGTTGGTTTTCGATTTCCATTGTGATTGATAAACACATGTAAATACGTCTTAGTTAAACCTGATTCAGTGCAGATACTCCTCCTGCAAGAGAAATCTAAAGCCCGTAGCCCCCACATTCAGGCTTGCTGATGAGCCAGCTCAGGCAACTGATTGGGCTTTTCCTCCTCCCCCCTCCTTTTTTTGAGATTAAATCCTCATTTTTACTGACTAAATAACCTTCAAATTTGATTTTCCAACCAGGTTGTGATTATTTCAGATGACAACAGTTAGGCCTGAAGTGCAACATACACAGCCTTGTGAAGATGGAAGGCACACGAGCAAAGGGAGATGGGGACCAAAATAACAGCCGGCTCGGCGCTTCCTTCTCCCTTTCCCGTCACTGGCCTTGGCAGACATCACCAATCAGTCAAGACAGTTCTCGTTCTTGTTGAGCACACTTGCAAGTGGGATTATCAAGAAGTATTTTTACACTCCAAGAATTCTGTTTCTTTCTCAAATCTTGACTGCAGGGAGCTGGATGGGAAATGAAGCAGCTGGGACACAAATTGGCACTCATATGGGATGAAAGCAGGTGTCATAGCCTGTGGGTTAACCTACGTGGCAATGCCAGCCCAGAGTTGGGCTTTTAAGCCTCACCACATAATATTGTTGCTTTCAGTTTTGGTGGTGAAGAGAATGCTCAAGTGCAGAAGGAGCAAAGGTTTTGCCAGACATGCCCCAAGGCAAGCCAGGAAGAGTCCTCAACTCCTGGCCTGGAGCTCAGATTCTAGTTCTGATCTTGACCCTTCTTGAGTGCCTGGGGCCACCTGACTCTCACTTTCCCTCTGAGTCAACAAGAAGGTTAAATATGCTGATTTCAGGGCCATTTCTAATTCCCTGTCTCTCTCAGAGTATCTTACATTTCTCTGTCTCTGTATTAACATTCAGTAAAAGCAGAGGTTAGGAGCAAAGCATATTTACCTTTGCTTACAGAGCAGGAACACTAGCAATTGTGAGATAAATTTTCATAAGTTGAACAAATTGAGAGAGACATATTCGCTTCCAGGATCTTGTGCTGGCCTACCTGCTTTGGAGCCAAATCAGTGTATCTTGTGAAACAGTTTTTGTTGATGTATTGAAGTTCTGCCTCTGTCAGTATTTAGGGCATTTAAAAAGAAAGATTTTCTCTCTCACCTTGCTTTCCCCATCGCCTCAGTTCTCCCCCAACTGCAGCGTGAGCCTGGCTAATTAGGACAAATTACAGCAGGTGGCAACTTGGCTTTTTTTTTTTTTTTTTTAAACTTCACAATCCACCAGGGACTAAAAAGCTTTAAACCAATTTCTCATTTAATCTTCAGACTCAAGACTAAATTTCACTGCAATCAAAAAGCATATATTTGATGATTCATTTCCCTCACACCTTTCAGGCTTAATATCTTTCCTGAAAAGGATCAACACATCCTAAAGATAATTAAGCAACTGCCATTAAGAAGCAATTGCAAGCCAACAACCTTCCCCCCTCATTCTGCTTTCTGGTGCTCTCCAAGTGTGCAAACCAGGTGAGAAGTGACTTTTCCCTTTGCTGAGGATGAGTTTCTGTAACCCAAAGCCCTTGCGCTTACATTCTCAAGCAGTCTTTCTCTTGAAAAAGTGGTCAACTTACAGTGCCTCTGGAGGAGTTTTGAGGAATTGCTTCTGTTGCATACCATAATCTGAAAATGCCTCCATTATTTTCATTTGCCATTCATTTTACCCACAGATTGTCCATAACTGCCTGTCCAAAACAATTCCAGATGGTTCTGTTTGCAAGGGGTGAGTAGAACCCCTCCCCCGAGACTTTTGGAGTTGAACAGAATGAGTCTAAAGTCTGACCTCTTGATGCCACGCCAGGATTTTGATTCATTAGGTGGTAAGCTTTGAATGTCTTTTCTACAAGTCGTGTTGGAATTTAGTGCTACCATGATGGTATGAAGAGTGTGATTTTTTTAAGAGTGGATCCCATCGTGAGGGCTTTGTCCTCATGCATCAATATGATTGGGTTTCCTGCAAGTCACTTGCCTTCTCTTTCTCATGAGTAATCACTCATCCTTTGACCATGTTGTGTCACAAAGGCCCTTGGCAGGTGCCAGCACCATGTTCTTGGACTTCTTCTCATTTCTAGAACTGTGAGCTAAAGAGGATTCTATTGTGTATCATTTATCCAGTCTACTATACCACTATAGAAGCAGAAAATAGACTAATGTAGTAGCTTGGGATATGAGCTTGGAATTCACAGTTCCTACAAGCTTCCAAGTGATGCTGGTAGCATTGGTGATGAGATCTTACATCCATAGCTGTGGTCTAGAAAGTATGAGGCTGGGAGACTAAACAAGGGCCAGGTATTGTAGTAGTGCTTATGTGAAGGGTATGTGGTTTGCCCATGAGTCTTAGCTTGCTCCTTTAACTCAGATGGTGTTTCTGGTTAACAACCCCTTTCATGCTCAAGCTTGTTCCAAAGATGCTGAGTTATGAGGTCACTGTTTTTATGTTCATTATCTTCTCCAGTCCTTACAAAGATTTCAAAGTCAATTGCATTAACACAGTTTGCAGAAGAGACACTGAAGATTGGTTTATGTAAGCTTACCTAAAGTGACACAGCCAGGAATTAAAGGTAAGTATGCTTTCCTTCTGACCTGTGTTTTGGCTGAATATTAACACAGTGACCTGCCTTATCTCATAACCTGCTTCTTCCGGTCTGGTGCATAAGATCAGGGTGTGGTATCACAGGCTTCATTTTGCCCTTTTTACTTTTTCACAAAAAGACTATCACTTCACAGTAACAGGCAAAAGAAATGCTTGAAAAGGCCATTGCAAGAAGAGATGAACTAATTAACCAATTAAATTAGTATTGCAAAGCTAGCCATATCCTTCAGGCAACTGATTTGATTTTATCAAATGAAAAAAAAAACCACATAATCAAAATATGCCTTAGCAGAGAGCTTGTTTTCTCAATCACTTCCCACACTTTCCTGAATTTAGTTCACCTAGTCAGTGATGCTGTGTGCCAGCATGCTAGAGGGATATGAAACATGATGAAAGCACTAAGTATGCCTCAATCCTACCTTCAGAGAGACTTTCAAAAGTGGGTGCAGGTGCAGGAAGAGCAGATTCTTATTGAGGTATGTGCGAGAGGAACACCTGCCATTTGACAAAGCCCTGGCAAATTGTGCTTTGGTTCTTGTCGCATGAAATTTGACTCTTCTCTGAAGGTCACAAGTTAATGTCTGCATTTTAATTTATGTGGCATCTAAGGCCTTTGTTCACAAGATCAGGTGTGCCTCCACTCAGTGTGGGATTGTTGCCTTGTTCTCGGGAAAAATTGAATGAATTTTTATGAAATAAATAGTGATGGGAGAGTCCTAAAGATGGGTAGGATGGCTGAGGTGTGTGCGTGTCTGTCTGTGTGTTCTTGACTGAAATGAAATCTCCTCCCTCAGGTCCTTTTTTTGTCTGTGCTGTTTCCTAGGATAACTGACTTCAGATCTGTACATTCACTGTAGCAACAACCAGATGTCTAATAAACTGAAAATCAGATACAACAATGATGGAATAGGAACAGATTCTTGCCCCTAGACATAACTTAACAATGTATAAAGAACATTTTTAACTATTGAGATATATAGCCAAATTATGTGCCATAGGGGGTATTTCAGAGAAACAAGTAAATAGACTTTTTTCCCCTCCTTTCCTGGGACATGAATCCACATTTTCCTCTTCTCTAGAAAGATGCAAGATAATAACTAATCTGTGTAGTTCAGGCATGCCAAGAAATGAGGAGCACACCTGTGAAGTGTAGCCAATCTTCCCATATACCTGGAGACCAAATAAACACTCCATTAGCTTAGACATCAAAGCATCCTACCTTGGGGGAGGTGAAGGTGCACTTGAGTTTCCGGGGAACTCTCTCATGGGCCATTTCAGTCCACTCAGCAAACATATCATCACGGTAAGCCAGGGAGACATCCATGGAAACTTCAGCATTTTCCCCTGCGAGAGAAAGAACGCACAGTTCTGAAAAGGCTTTGGGGAGGATATTTTGGAAACAGTTCAAAAATTCTTACAGGCTCTGTCATGGAAAATACTAAGATGAAAGAGATACATCAACTCTAATCAAATGCCAAATCTGAAGTCTTCAGAGTCACAGGGTGAAAGTTTAAACTGGATGTTGGTCCTCCCAGGATATCTCCACATAACTTCCTCCGGAGACAGGGAACTCACACTTTGATCAGCTCAAATGGTCTCAAATTTTGACTCACTGAGAGTATTTATGCTCCTGTAACTTGCACCGGAGGTCACAGATCTAGCCAAAGGAGACAACGCGAAAGGTGAGGGCCTCCCTTCTTCTGTAAAATGTGCTTCAGGTACTTGCAGATCACACTCTGCTTGTACTTTCTCTCTTCCTCTCATAAACGCAGCCGCGTTTATTAAGCACCGCTCAGACAGTTTAAGCCTTTTTGGTGCTTGCCTCTGGACACTGTAGCATGAAAGAACGCTGCTTAAAATGATGCCCATGTATCCTGGGTGTAGCTTCTCCCTTTCCCTCCCTCCATTCCCCAGATACAGGAAGAAGAAAATTAGAAACAATTATTTCGTTCACTTTCCCCTGTTCCTCAACCCTCCCACTGTAATTGGTAGACATGCATCCTTCTTGACTATGCAAACATTATCATCAAGACAAATAATAAGATAAATCTTTTTTAAAAAAGAAAATACGTCCATGAATCTCTAAAATATAGGATCTGCTATTCTTCTAGAACTCAAAACCTCTTCTTTGTACTATAACCAAAATTTTTAAAAGATTTATTTATTTTTATTACAAAGTCATATATATGGAGAGGAGGAGAAGATCTTCTATCCGATGATTCATTCCCCAAGTGATGCTATGGCCGGAGCTGCGCCAATCTGAAGCCAGGAGCCAGGAGCCTCTTTCAGGTCTCCCCCAATGAGTGCAGGATCCCAAGGCTTTGGGCTGTCCTTGACTGCTTTCCCAGGCCACAAGCAGGGTGGCCAGGATTAGAACTGGTTCCCATATGGGATCCCCATGCATTCAAGGCGAGGACTTTATCCGCTAGGCCACTGTGCCAGGCCCTCCTTTGTATTATAACCAAATTAATGTAAAAGGCAAAGGATTGTTCCACAACTAAAAGCTTTTATGCAGATAGGCATGTAATAACGAGCACCTGAATGCACAAGTGGATGTTTGTCCAAATCCTTCCACGTCGTAAGGACCATGGGTGGGTTAAATTCATTACTCCCTGCTAAGAATATCAGTGAAAAGTATGTCTATCCATTTGTCCTGTTTTCAGCTACATTGAGTGAACTCAAGAACAGCAGGGTCTTAATGAGGACCCACTGGGGTAGGAAACTGGCTCATTTCAAAGCTCTGGATATTCAACCTTGGGTGAATCTCAATATCCAGGCACCTGCATTTGCTCATCTGTGAAGTGACTCCCACCTCCAGGGTTGTTGTAAGTATTAAGCAAAGTCACTGAATGATGTCTGGTATGCACAAGGTGCTTTATAATCATTTCTCCAAGCTGAAATACACAGATGTCACAGAGGGGCAGGCATAAATAACAGCTATTTAGACAAGTAGGGCTTTGCTCTACAATGTCTAGGACAGTTAAACCTGATGTGACTAGGCGGTGTATTTCTGATTTTTTTAAAAAGCAAATCCAGGAGAAGGAAGAATAACACAAGCATCATGAGATCATGAGACTGTTCTAGTGCAGGCAAAAACGTCATGAATTCCAACATCCTTTATAATACTTTATTACTTGTAAAACCATTTAAAAAACATGGTGGATTAGCTACTACGTTTTCCTCTCCCTGTTGAAACTCTATGGAAAATGCCATATGGAAAACAAAGGATATTAACCCACAAGTAGAAATACAGAGATACAAGCAGGCCAGATTTCAACAATCTTTTCCAGTTGAAAAGTAGTTTCCTGACACCCACAGAATAAACTCTCATAGAGGGACTATTCTGGAAAAATAAACCACCAAGCTTGACAGAATCCCAAAGCACTCTAAATTTGAAAGCACCAGGGGCTGAAGGCATGGTGCTGGACACAGGATGACAAAGAACACTGGATGACTCTATGTCACCTTCCTATCTCTGCATAGTCCAAGTAGAGACTCTGGACTCTGGGACACCAAACAGCACCAAAAAACCCGGGGCTGATTGTAGAGAAGACTATAGTAGCCTGGATAAGAAAGCACGTAGTCTCCAACTTCGGAGAAGCACTAGTCAGAATTAGCTTATTCCCTGAGCTAGGGTCCAGGCTGGTTACTGTAGTATCCCATTTGGAAGCTTCAGTCATTTACAAAAATTTGGCTAGAGTTCCCATCCATAAGTCAACTACTAGGAACCAGGGTCTATCCTTTTCAATTTTTGCATTAGGGTTAATAAGAATAATTGGGATTGTGAATTGTGTTGAAAGAGAAACACAGGACTTAAAAGTACCAAGCTGAAAAGCTATAAGAGAAGGTGTCTGATAACCTGGGATACCTGCAACAATTCACATATTATGTACCCTCAGGTAGGGGTGGCCTTAGACACAAGGATGGCTCTTATTCTTGGTGCCACATTTTAAAAGGTCTTACTGCCTCTAGCCCTCTTCTTCTAGTCCCTTCCTTACTGGACAAAAACACTCTGAAGTGAAGGAGACATACACCTAGAGCCTACCCCTAATCCCATGCTCTTGGACTCATATCTTGCTCATGCTCAAGGACCTCAGGGCTTTAGAACACTCACCCAGAAAGCTCTGACACTACTTCTAAGGGCCTGCAAGGCCCTGGGATTAGCTCTGGGAGCTCAGGAGGTACACAGGCTGCTGTTGGTAGGAAGAAATGGATAGAGCTTGAGTTTGGAGTGTGGGTGTCTACACATGAGCATCCCTCTCTCTGAGATGGAGCCTAGGGCAAAGAAAGGGAGTCTGGCGGACCACACTTCCTGGTCAGTCATCTTCTGGCACAGAATTTTGGCAACTCAGAGAATCTGAAATTCAAACCTGCCCTTCCAGTTCATTATGCAACAAAACGTGTCGTAATCAGAGGATGGAGCATATCTGGCTTAAAGTTGGTGACGTTTTAACTACTCAGATACATGGGTACCCTCTGCATGATTACCATTGTCATGGACCCCTGGTATAGAGCAGGCACCTCTTGGGGGGAGCTTGGAGGATTTGCCTCCTGTCTGGGCTCAGCTCAACAGCTGCTCTAATCTGCTGAGGATCCTCAAAGGAAAAATTATTTTTAAATATGTTATTTTTAAAAACAAGCAAAACACCTGAATTATGTTAAGTTAAGGTACAATTACTCCAAAGGAATTCCTTGTGACTTCTGCAATTTCATTTAATTATTTCATTTAGTTTTCCCCAACACCTCCATGAAGTGATCATGGATACAGATATTTCTTCCTCCTCCTGCCCCTCCCCCTTCTGCCTCCGCTGCTGCTGCTGCTGATTCTTCTTATTATTATTTTTCCTTTCTTTCTAAGGATTTATTTATTTTAAAGCAGAGTGATAGAGAGTTTAGGAGAGATACAGAAACAGATAACAGATACATCTACCTTCCATCTACTGGTTTACTCCTCAAATACTTGCAATAGTCAGGGCTGGGCCAGGCCATGATACAAATCTGGAACTGAGTAGCAGGAGCCCAGGTAATTAGGCCATCTGCTGCTACCTTCCCATGTGAGCTGCAGGGACCTGGTTTGGAAGCTAAGTAGCTGGGACTCAAAGTGATACTCAGATTTGGAATGCCTATGAAGACTCTGATCTTCCACAAGACATACCTTAGATACTTGAAACCACATTACCTATACAAAATACATAGCTTACTGTAGGAGAAATATGTACTATATCTGTGATATCACAAGGGTGGCTCATTATATTGTCTGAAACCAACCTAGTAGCTCTTCTAACAATTCCCTGGATAAACGTGGCATGATTCTTGAAGGACTGGACGGGAATCCCAGGAACACCAGTGTCCATACCATGGCTTTGATGTGATCAAGAACAAGTTGACTCTGAATGGGAAGGGGGGACAAGTGCCCACTAAAGGAGGCAGCTGTTCTGAGCTCTGCTTATGAGGTAATGGTTTCACAACCTTTTTTTAAATTATTAATTACGTTGCATTATGTGACACAGTTTCATAGGCTCTGGGATGCTCCCATCTCCTCCCTGTGCCCTCCCCCCATGGTGGATTCCTCCACCTTGTTGTAATGTTACAGTTCAAATTAAGTCAAGATTCTTTCGTTGCAAACATATACCAAGCATAGAGTCCAGCATCTTATTGTCCAGATAAATTCAACAGTTTCTTGGGGGAGACCATCTCTGTTCTGAAGGTAGAGCTGGCAGAATATCATCCGGATCAATTTGAAGCCCCAGCACAACATCAACCACAATTTACAACATTATGGAATTAATTGACATGGTATTGAGTAACCAACACATTAAAACAATGCAAGTTCTTAACCACATCCTGTGACTACTTCATTGACCCTTCAGTTTTTGTACACAGAACCGGCTGCTATACACCTTACAGTGGCTACAGGGTACTATTCGGCTGTCTCATGTCTGTTTTCACAAACTTTTTTTTTAAAGACATGTCAGAAATCCAGATTTCTAAGAAACATCACCTAATGTTTAAATGTCAGGAGCTAACTTATAAAACAAAACAAAACAGTATAAAATCTCTGCACAGGTCAATGAACAAAGCATTCAGTTCCTTCTGAATAACTTGGTGACACTAAATGTCTTCACACTGGCTACCACTCCACCATGTGTTTCTTTCCATTTCATCAACAAGTAAAGTCTTTCTAAAGCTTTCTGTTGTTCCACATTCACTACGCAGTGCATGCTGCCTTGTTCTCATTCATCACTTCTATATTTGGTGTGCAGTTGGGAGCACAGGTGTTAGTCTTCCTGCATAGAGATACAGAAGTCAAACCCATGGCCTTCGTCTTATACAGTATTTTGCCA